CTTCTGGCAGAAAATACCCATACCAGGACACAAACCTGTCCAGTTTCTTGTTGAACCTTCGGCCCAGGAGGTTCATATTCAGACTCACCTAAATCCCCCCCCCCCCCCCCCCCGCAACACAGGTCCTGAAAACACCTCCAGCTGAAATGACCTCTCTTTTAGGTCCATATACTGCCAGCTGAGGGAATCAGTCTGCTTATTGCCTATGCCAGGAATGTAAATGGCTGACAAGGCTGGAAGATCTCCCAGAACAGGATGAGTGTTACCCCTCTTTCTACAGCAAGACTTCTCATTCCTCCCTGGGTTGATGTATGCCACTGCCATTGTGTGAATCAGAACAGCTGGACTAAATGACTTCTCAACTCCAACAGACCCTAAAGCCCCCATCTTTAGTAAAAATTAAAGGTGCTGAGGAAATGTCGTAGGGTAGGACTGTAAACTGCCAATATTTCATACCCTAAACCATCCCTCACAAACAAACCTTTGGCATTTTGGTGAGGAATTCCGAATCGGAACATGAAAATATGCATTCCCCAAGTCTATTGTCCGCATAAATACATCTTTTGTCAACAGGTTTCTCAAAAGAAAAATAGTCTCCATTCTAAAGTTATTCTACTTATTCAACTGATTCAAGGGTTTAAATTCAGAATAACCCAATATTTTCCAGAAGGCATTTGTCTCATGAAAGTGTGGGAAATACCTGGACCTTGTTCCTTAATTTGGACAATAAGCTTGTTTCACACTGCTGCAACGTACAAAGCTAAAAGTGGCATGACAAGTCAACACATTCATTTCAATGGATACCATCTTGGTCAATGCAACTCAAGTCGCAGTGACAAAACAAAATGATTCCTGCGCTACTTTTCTGTGACTGGTGCAACTTGAGTGCCATAGACTGTGATGTTATATCACAAAAGTCACAAGCAAGTCGCAAGGAAATTGCAAGCGAGTCACATGAATTTGGGGTCCCAGCAGTGTACACTGAGCCTCGAACGTGTAAGCAAAACAAGTGGTGGCGCTGCCTAAAGTTACAAGCTTCTGCCTTCTAATCCATTCCATCTGGTCTTTAAAGACTCCTATATCTTCAAACAAGAGATCTATTTTAAGGACACTTGTCCCATGTCTTGGTATCTTCCTCGGCAAAAGGGGAATTTCATTGAGGTTTGTAGGGGAAAAAATTAGATTTTCTTGAGTATAATACACTGGAAAAAGTACAGAACTTCTACTGCAATCCCTTATAAATTTGTTCATGTATGGATAATAGTTTTGGTTGCTCCCATATTTATGGTGTATTTGCAAAAATGTACCTTCTGATCAAACAGAAGGGCTTCTTAGTTTGTACCCCTGAAATTTCATCTGTAGAGGATTCCTCTTCCCCTTCTTCAGTAGAGGAATCTGCTAAAATAAGCAAGTCTTTCGTAATGCAGCTTCTTTCACATCCAGGAGATGATGGTAAAGTTAGTGCAAAAGAGGCAGTAGACTGTACTACAGGAGGAGGTAGTGAACTGACTGCAGAAATACTCCAAATGACTGGCAGAAGATATTTCTTTGCTCATGGTATGAATGAATACTTAAAAATGCACCAGTGATTCCTTGGTCATGAATTTATATTTATACATGGCTGGCATAATGGTTTGCTGGAGGTAGGTGATATCTTGTATATCTTTTACTTCTGGGTTTGTCCTCAAATGCAGAAGAATCTTTCTGCACGCTACCCTAAAAAACACAGTATTGGCTATCTTATTATATCTGGCATTGGAGTTCCTTAACAGATAAAATGAGGAAAAAAACAAAACATACCCAACAGTACCACCTGTGACTGTATCCTACAATATTCCTCTTACCTTGGAGCTGCTTGCACAAGCTTCTGCTGAAGTGCAAGATCTTTGGTGCCCAAGTCATCTTCCCCATCCATAATGGCTGCCTGGTCACATGGTTGGCTGATCCCAATACACTCAGTGCTCGCGATGTTTGATAGCTCAACCTGCCCCAATCTGGAGTCGTGAGCCTCCTACTCTGGTAGGCAGACAGACAGGACATCATTATTCTACTTCTGATGTTCCCTACACCCTACTCAGGGTGGAAGTGTGTTACTGGAAGCAATCCTAGGAGGCTGGCTAACCACCCGGCACAAGGATGCGACCTGGCTACCAATACTTATCTGCAAAGCAGCAAGAATGCTCAGTCATGACCTCTTCTTCTAAACATTACTGTGTAAAAACTGCCACTCCACTTCCTTTATGGGGAAGGAGGGGGACCCATTAGTTCCCAATAAGCTCAAAGGGGATAGCTGCCTTTCCCAGCTGAGACATAGGAAAGCTACGTCCCAACAAACTTCTCCTCGGAACATATTTTCAGGACTTCCTTCCCTCATAAGAATTACAACACCTGCCTATCTTCCCAAAGCGTGCAGGTGCACTGTCCTGGAAACAACTTCTGTGGTCTGGTAGGGACCTCCGCTTACTAGCATGGTAGTCAAAGAGAAACAAGTCACTGCTTGTGTGATAGTTCCTGTTACACCAAAGGAGCTGACATTCATTATATTGTGAGCCTTGCATTTCCTGTTTTAGCTGGGCAGAGCTACGGTTTGTCTTGAAAGAGAATTGGGGGAAAAACCGTTAACGCTTGGTCAGTGTCCAATCCTTCTGTAGGAGGAAGTATAACTGGAAGACTTCCCCTGTCCCTCTGAGGAATGTATCATCAGAGAGAGAAACACTGCTCCAGGTCGATCTCCACCTATCCCACCTCCACGCATACTAACAGGTGCTGGCCCTGCTTGTTGCAGTCTCCAAAATAGTGAAATAAGTCTGGTGGCCGCACAGTCGATAAACTTACCTTCATCAAGTTTTCATCCAAATACACTCCACATACAGTAGAAAATGGAAGACAGCAGACCTGCTGATGCGTTTCACTCTAACATCAATGCTTAACAATAGCTATGATTAAGTGCTGGTGTCAGCATGAAATGTGTCAGCTGGTCTGCTGTCTTCCATTTTCTACTGTATTTGGATGAAAAGTCAACAAAAAGATGATGTTATCGGGCGTGCAGCCGCCAGACTTATTTCTTTATGAGGGTAGTTTATATTACCTACACAAGTCATCTACTACTTTTTAATAGGAGCTTAGCAGCTAGCAGGTACAAAGCACAGTTACCTAGAGGTACCTGCAGATACCTAGAAAAGATCTCATTCAAATCGGTTTAAGCCACATGTCAGCCATTCTAAATGGGCAAAGTTCCGGTATTGCCTTGTACTGACGAAGCTTTCCAGTGTCCTTCCTGCCACATCACTGTGATAACTGACTCCTGGGTTTTCAAATATAACTAAAGGCAAAACGTTTTTAGGTTTTGGATAGACCAGAGAGGGGTTGAACACCTGTCAGTTTTTATTGCTGTCTATGCCCGTTAGGGAGATTCTCCCTCTCTATTTGTGTATCATTGAAAGTAAAACAAAATCCCAAATTTTGGGTTGTCCTCAGAAAAGTAAGAGGGCAAATCTTCCAATGGAGACACTAGTTCTGGTGACCTGGGGGTGCCCAAGGAATTCTCTTCATTTTCTGGGATTTTCACTCACTTCCTGTATGGTTATGGGACAGGATGTGAAGGTAAATCTCCTAAAAAGGAACACAGATCTTAAACAAAAAAAAAAAAAAAAAACCCACACACAATGTTTGACGGGTTATAACCCTCCCCCTTGCTCTGTGCTGCCTATAGTTTTACTTTTAAGCCTAATGCTAATTAAGTTTCATTTAACTTTAGTTTGTTTGGACCAAGTTAGTCCAACTGAATTATTTCCTTCACGAACATGTGGCTGCTATAAGTACTGTATAAAAAACTACATGTACCATCAGCCCGATACAGAATACAGCGCTGTGTTTAAGTGGCCATACAGGGACTTCCTATCCTTCTTCCAGAACCAAAATTGAGTTTGGCTGAGTGCTGCTCAGCCATTCACAGGACGCTTTGATATTTAGGAATGAATACAAAGCTTCCTCCAGCTTACCTGGAGAACAAGATATCATCTGCTCACCTCTCCACTTGCCAATCAGAGGAAACCTTGTATTCATTCATAAAATGTAAAGCTTCCTGTGAATGGTTGAGCAATGCTCACTGACTCGATTTTGTTCCAGGAATGGGAAGTCCTGTATCGCTAAAAGAACACAGTGCTGTATACTGTATGTAGCCAATAATACAATCAGTTTATACAGCGCTCAGCAGGCGTATGCATTAGTGTAGAAAATTATTGAATAAGATCTGCTGCATTTATGTCTAGGTACCTCAAAAGAACTCTTTATACCTGCTAAGAGCTCTAAGAGGCGATTCTCCTCACTTTGGACAGATCTCCTCTCACTATTTAGGTCTATTTGACCGAAAGTTAGGGAAGATATTTCCAATAGGACACAGAGGAAAAAAAAACAGGATTTTTTTAAATTATTCACAGTGAATACTTTGAATTCAGGGAGTAGAACACTATTGGGAAGTATCATTTGAGAAAATGCATCATGATGCAGGAATGGTTTGTGCATCATGTCATGCTTTCTCTGAAGACAAAAGGCTAGGCATTGCAATGCAGCATGCAGGGGGTATGGTTCAACTGTGTTTTCATGAAGTTTTTAGCACACCTGTCTTACTGCAATCCCCTCTTAAATACTTCAGTTCTCAAGGAGGATAAGCCTTTGTTTACAGATTAAAACATTCATTTCAGCTTCGCAGAACACCAGTTAAAATAATCGCAAACAATTACCTTTCAAAGGGTCTGTATTAAAATTGATTTACAAATATAACAATCTGGACCAAAAAAATGTCAATGTTTAAGCTGCTGGTATGCATGCCAAAGTATTGACATCTGATCAAAAAAAAAAAAAAAGTTTTATAGTTTGATCCCCTTTAATAAAATTATAAAAAAGGTAAATTCTAGTATTAGTGGTGAAAATTTTCACAGTATTTTTTTCTTTTTTTGTTTTCATTTTTATTAACAAAATGTTATTTGTTATAAATAGCATCAGTCAACGGGTCCCTGGAAAATAAGTTTAACGCAGCTTTCCTCGCCAGTCAACTGTGTTGCACAGAATGGGCAGGCAGCGTGAAATGCGTGGGTACCATGAGGAAGCGGGATCTGAGACCAGTATTTGGCAGTCTTCTCTGAACACACGTGTCCACAAGGGCTGAAAGCATGTGTAGGAGGACCAGCATCTACATAAAAGCCAGCTTCGCAGCCCAGCCACAGAGGCACATAGGGCCCAATTGTTCGACACATGGGACATTCCCGCTCGTTGGCTTCTGCATCACTTCGATGACCCCAATTGTGATATCCATGCACATGGCCACAGGTTAGGTAAGCCCAAGGCTGTTTCTCTTCCACTACATCCTTGCGGTTCATACTAGGAAAAGCGAGAGTGTTTAATCCAACAGGGCACTGAGGTCTCGCTGCATTTATCTCCTGTCTCAGGGCTTCAATGTGTTTTTGAGTTGGTGCATGAAACAAGCCATCTGCTGTTCTCCAGAGCAAGGTAGCCCCACATAAGTCAATAAGAGAACCATCCTGAAGAATGTTGGTTTCATTTTCCACCTACAAAATAAAAAAAAAAGCAAATTTCTTAATAACTGCTTATGTGAGCATTATTCTCAACGTGCACCTCCAAAAATCTATAAACATGAAAGAAAAAGAGCAATAGAGCGAAAGAAGAGAGAAAGCGAGCAAAAATGCAAAAGCAAGAGCGAGAAAGTGAGCAAAAGCGCAAAAGAAGAAAGTGCAAAAGAGAGCGAAAGAAGAAAAAAAAAAGTGCAAAAGAGAGCAAAAGAAGAAAAAAAAAAAGTGCAAAAGAGCGAAAGAAGAAAAAGTGCAAAAAGAGCGAAAGAAGAAAAAAGTGCAAAAGAGCGAAAGAAGAAAGTGCAAAAGAGAGCGAAAAAAGAAAGTGCAACAGAGAGCGAAAAAAGAAAGTGCAACAGAGAGCGAAAGAAGAAAGTGCAAAAGAGAGCGAAAGAAGAAAAAGCAAGAGACCGAAATTGTGCGCATTTTTTTCCTACACAAAATATGTGCATTTATTATTTTTTTTTCCAAACGGTGAATTTATCCTATAAATTTGTGCAAATCTTTGCTATGCTTTGTACCAGGAAACAATTCAGTGCAATTTTAAACATAGAATACAAACATTTTGTTTACATAACTTTTTTTTTAGGGGGGGGGGTTCAAAATAAAAAAAAAAAAAAAAAAACCCCCCCCCCCCCCCCCCCCCACATTTTAAATCTTTTTTTCTACAGATTACAGAAAATGTTTGTCATTACCAGGCTCTCTTTTGGCAGTATTTTCTTGCAAAGATATCACCAAATAAACCGGTCTCATGAAAAGGGAAGGTTTTCTATGGTTCGTAACAGCCAAAGGTAAGAGCTGAAGTGAACTAAGCTAAAAGACTTACAAGTTTTCCTCTCTGCTGAGCTGATCTGGTTTCTCTGAGAGTGTACACATCACCGCAGACTGAAATTTCTCTCCATACACCAGGCTTAGATTCCTCAGTGAAACCTCCTTTTGGATGCATTACAAGTACACCATTGGTGGTTAATCCATCCATGTGACCATCAGGATTCTTCCACTTAGCTGCTTTCTCCTAAAAGTAGAAGAAAAACAATGGTTAACACTGAGCAAATTGCATGTAGAGAATTTAGAAGTAGAAAAAAAAACCCCTTTCCACTGGGGATTCATATTCACAGACATCTCATAGAACACCTGGGGCTATTTGAGCGCCAAGACACGTGGAATCATATGGTATATGGGCTTTCCGGATACCCACAGATTTCAATTACTGCTGACATATATGGATCTAACAGAGGAACCGGTTGCATTTCTGGTAGTTTCTGCCTAGAAATGACTCCAAAGGCCCCAAAAAATTCCAAACTCTTGTGGGCAACCTAGCATGTTCCCACTTCCTGCTGTGCCTACCCCCCCAGTGCAGTCTCCTCCGAATTCATAGTCAGGTGTAAACAGAAAAAGGCTAGACATTTTTCGCCTTTAAAAAAATAAAGGATTTGAGAAAGACATCACAGACAACAAAATGTTCTAGCAAAATTATTTCTCCTAACCTCATGCTTTTACTGTACAATCAAAAATATTCACATGTAAAAAGAGAACTCTGATTACCATACTTTATGTCTGACACTTACACACGAGAGAAATATATTTTTGGAGGAGTCAAATCCTGCGGCATAAATTCTAGCTGTGTATGGTAGATTCCTATCGCAGACTATTCGGCAAGCGAACCTGGAAATGGTACTTTGTGTGATCTGAGTCTCATCATTCTGGTTACCAGAAATTGTGTCCGTCACGACAAAGTCAATGGGGCTTTCTGTTGACCTTCCAATCTGAAACAAGAAAATGTAACATGTATGATTTCTTTACTAAGATATCAAACCTTATACATACAGCTGGGCTCATATCAATAATATAATAAAATTTTGCAGCTATCTAGCTAGAGGAATAGCAGTCCATATGCTTGTATCACTTTGGAAGAATCAGCCATCTCTTTTGGGGAAAAATGTGTTTAAAGTGATCAGTGCATGTGCATGCAGTGTTGGGATCACTTGTACTTTTTACTCATTACCAAAGTCACATTTTGCCTTTGCACATTTTTCCCATCAGTTATTAAACACGTATAGTGCGAACACGGCCTAAAAATGGTAGATCTCACTTGCAGAGACTTGAGCTTCAGATTTCATGCATGTTTCAGTGAGTTTTTTGCATGCTGACATCAGCTTTTATGTGCGTTTTTCACTTTCGCTTCTGCCCTGTTCACACCACAATGTTGGATGTCACTTGAGTTTTTTTGTTTGCGCAGAAAACTACATACACGTTCCAGACTCCTGTGCAGAAAAATCTGCATGGATACTAGGGCTTTGGTGCAAAAAGGGCACATGGAGAACAAATGGGCACATAGACAATTGTTTTCTTTGTGCCCTTGCAGAACACATGCAGAAAAACTAACATCTCTGCACATGGTGTGAACAAAGCCTAAGCTAGAAATGTTCAGCATAAGTGAGAAATGTTTAATAAATGTCATTAAATCCTTTAGTTGCACTTTAATTAACCAAATGCTAATCAGCATGGATTGTTCTGCAATAATTACAATTAATTAGCACTCACCTTACCACTTACCCCAGTATTAAAAATCGCAGAGATAATTTATAGAAAATTGAAAAACACTAGAAAAGTTAAATCGCCTGCTCACAGCAAATGCATTTGCTTTAATTTTCATAAACTGCACTGTCATACAAATTACAACTGGGACCCCATTGCTGCCCAAAGCAGTCTCATCCCATCCTTTAGGTACTATTCACAGTGGAATAGATATGCAATCCCACCCATTATGTATTTTAACTTTTGCAAGCACACTTGAGAAACCCCCACTATAATTTGTCAAAATTCACACAGCATACCTAACAATCATTTTAAAAAATACGGTTTGACTTTAGTTTTTTTGGGGGGACAGGTTCATGTATAGGACTCTATAAGCAGCTAGAATAGCTCAAATGTGTAACTGAGACAAACTGAGGGACAGTTTATTTAAACTGCGTTTATGCACAATGTATCACCAAAACCTGTTAGGACAGACAGTGTGCATATTTAGTTTACAACTGATAATGAAGATCTTCCAGCACAGTACACATAGGGCTAATTATAGTAAAACTAACCTCACAGCCTCCTCTTCAACATTACATAGCTGCGAAAAGCCAAGTAATATTATCCAGCAAGTAAAAAATTGCTGCTTACCTTTAAATGTTTTTTTTGTTAAGTTTTGCTATATGAAAAGGGAACATGTAACAATTATTGAACAGACGTTATTCCTACTTGGCTGAAAAATGGAAAATACACTTTCAAGAAAGCAATGAAGGCTGAAGGTGGTCAAGTGAAGTTACATAAATAAACTGTGGAACACAATTTTACAGACAGTTTATGCATTCATTATATATGAACCCAGCCAGTTAACCAGTTATCTGCAGAGGAGTACACCACATAATAGTACTTTGTAGCTCTTAACAGTAAAAGCAGACAGAAGATCCAATTATTTCACAATAATTGACTGAGGACACCTAGAGAGACAGACCACCGCAAACTATTCCCAACAGACAGTCAACTATTTTCATGTCTGCTAGAGGTCAGAGGATATAAATGTCAGTTTTGCACCTATAAAGCGGCTGGACCATACCATAAAACCATTATATTTGTTAGAAAGGAGAATTGTTCAGAAACTAGGATACTGGAGAATCAATGGGAAAGCTTAGGTGAATTAGCTATGGTGAAAACAGTAGTGCAAAGTCTAAAATTTACTGACAAAACAGATCTGAAGATAAACAAGACATAGCTTCACTTCATTTCCCAATAGTGATAAAGCTGGGCGCCCCCCCCCCCCCCTGCACACTCCTATAGGTCAGTGGGGCTGACCAGGTTGTGATAGGCTGATAGGGATTTATAAGTGAGTGGGAGAAGCCGCAAGTTCAGACCCTACTCGAATAATGTGGCTTTCGTTTCAGATTTGCCCCAGATTCAGTGGCAACAGTGGGGTCTTAACCTCCCTAGCGGTATGATTTCAGATTTTTGGTGCTGAAAGCGGTACCATTATTTTGCATGAAAATTTGGCGTTTGCATGGTAAGCCCGAGTGTAGCATGGGGTTACCGCTTGTGGTACTGGAACTTTACCCCGAGCTACACTGGAATACCGCCAGGGAGGTTAAGGGGTTGCTGCAGGTATCTGAAGGCACCTTAGTGGGCAGCTTCTCCTGGGTGCCAAACTGCAGCTGCTCCTATTGGCTGGCACAGGATGACATAACTTGAACACAGGCATTGTGAAAGCACAGCTCAGTATACATGTCAAAACAGACTGTAAGCAGGCAGGTAAGGTGTTTTTTTTTTTTTATTGTAGAAGAGACATTTGGGTAGATCTTATTAAAACTGGGGCATTTGGAATCTGGTGCAGCTGTGCCTGGCACCCAATCAGCTTCTAACTTCAACTTGTTCAATTAAGCTTTAACATTAAAACCTGGAAGCGGATTGGTTTCTATGCAGAGGTGCACCAGATTTTGCACTCTACAGTTTTAGCACATAACCCCCATTGCATGTTTCTTCTGCAGTAAAGAGCCTTTCTGATCACAGTTTTCAAAAGCAGGATTAAGCACTGCTTAAAATTATTGTTCTGAAATATCTGCCTGGAGTTTAGCATTAAAGTATATGTGAACCTTCACCCTGTGAAAAAAACCATTCAGTCTAAAATATAAATGAATAGTAAAACGTGTGTGTGTGTTTAAAAAAAAAACACGTTCTAAAAACACCAATTTTTTTTTTCTTGTTGTATATGCTATTACACAATTTCTGTTCTCAGCTGATAAGGAGCTTAGAGAGATGGGGGTGGAGGAACAGTAGTACACGGATCTTCCCAATGATTAGCTGCACAGGGGGGCAGGTCAACACAAGCCTTGGCCATTGGAGGACAGGCAGGCTGTGCACCCAGCACAGCCAGAAAACTGACCAGGCTGGGATGGATGTGCTTCTATGCCCAGCTCAGTTTGAAATAGGAAGGCAGGGGAACTGGCAGGATCACCAAGAATTTTACACAAAGAAAGCAATACAAAGAAAAAGGACACTTTTTAACACAAGTGCAGGGAACAACAGGCACATATCAGGAATACCAAATGTTCTTTAGGCAGCGTCCACTAAAATGTTGGGGTAACATATTCTTTAGGTAGCGTCCACAATCAATTTTCAGCCGACAGCGGACTCAAGTCGCTGTCAGCTGACATCACAGAGCCAGTACAGGATCTGAAAAGATTCCGACCATATAGCTGGAATCTGCCCAGAGGCCTGGACCAGCACCTTGCTCAGCCTCTCAGCAATCCACCAAGAGCCTAGGCCAGCACCTCCTGCCTCCTCTCCACAGCCCAGCTCTCCAGTGAGTACTGGAGGGGCAGAGCAGAGAGCTGGAGACTGACAGTCATGGCTCTCTGCTCAGAGCAGAGGGGGAGAACTGAGCAATCAGCAGTGTTTCATCGCTCAGTGCATTCTCCCTACAGAGCCAGTGGGGGATAGATGCAGCTTACTTCGGTTTTAAGCATGTTAGGATGTCAGTGGGTGGGACTCGCATACAAGCAAACTGAATGGCTGATTTTGACGAATTACACACTAACAGATCACATAACCAGGCAGTCAGAGCGAGCCTGCAATACTCACAGGCCTTACATACACTATCTGGCCATAGATGATCTTCCTTACTGATTAGACTTGCATAATCAATAAACCCCTAGAAATTAAGAATAGCCCAACAATAGTATATATTGATAATGCACAGTCTTTAAAAACTTCCAACAAGTAAAAAGTACCTGAAACATATCTGTGTCTTTATCATGAGAATATTCCACAACAACGGTCTGATTTCGGGATAATGTGTAGGAGATGCTGTGTTGACCTCTACTGCTGAATGCCTGCAGAGAAAAAAAAAGAAAGAAAAATAAGCTTTCATTGATCACACTTAATGAGGCTCTTCCACAGTAAATACCATCATTTCCTGAATACATTTTCCACCATAATTCCTCCAGGGGGGGAAAAGTGAAGGATAACAGTTTATAATTAAGATTTTGACAGCTTTAAACACATCTCTATCTTTTGATAATTAAAATAGATATTTATTAATAGACTCAATTTTTACCTTTTATTTCATAAACGCTCCTCAAAAGGAAAAAAAATAAATAAATGTGTGAGGTATCTGATAAAGCGATAGCAAGCAGATTTATGAATTGCATTGGTTTTTAAGCAGCACAGGTTAAAACTTCAGAACTTGATCAAACTCTCCAGGAAGACAGAATTTGTAACTATCTAATGTACTTTTGAAATGCAAACTATTATGCAGTATATGAGAAAATGAAAAACCAGACAAACATTGCAAGCATTTACATATTTTATAGCCTTCATCTTCTTTGTGGGAACCTTATTTATTACAGGTACCTATATAGCGCCATCAATTTACACAGTGCTTTACATATATATTGTACATTCACAGCAGTCCCTAACCCTCAAGGGGTGTACAATGTAAGGTCCCGAACTTACATTCACATATTAGGGCCATTTTAGACAGGAACCAATTCATCTACCAGCATGTCTTTGGAGTGTGGGAGGAAACTGGAGTACCCAGAGGAAACCCACACAGGCACAGGGAGAACATGCAAACTCCAGGCAGGTGGTGCTGTGGCTGGGATTCGAACCAACGACCCTTGTTCTGCCAGCCGGAAGTGCTAACCATTTAGCCACTGTGCTGCCCATTTGCCCTTTACTTAGAACTATAAACAAAACTTTTTCAACATTTTGGAGAAAGGGAGGGTTATAACCCCTTTGTTTTGTTTTTTTTTTGCCACCTATGTCATATTGGGAAAAAATTTACCTTAATTTCCTTTTCCATAGCCAAAACAGGAAGTGAGAGGAAATACCTGCAAACAGAATTTTTTGGGCCCCCCAGGTCACCAGAACTAGTGTCCCAATTGGAAAATTTCCCCTATAATACTTTTCTGGTGACAACTAAAAGTTTGAGGTTTCTTTTACTTTCGATAATGGTAAACATAACAGAGGGTGAATCTCCCTAACAGGGGCACAGACTGCAATAAAAACCTGACAGGGGTTCTAATCTCTCTCCACTCTATCCAAAACTAAAAAAGTTTTGCCTTTAGTTATACTTTGTTATACAAATACTAAATGTGTGCAGTCACCGTTGATCAATGGACTGCAGCCCATTACTTGCCTTTATCTGGCCCTTGGGACAATATTCCTTCCACTGACACCAATGACGGAGCACCATTCCCTCCACTCATGGGCACTTTTCCTCTGACTAAAACCAAGGACGAGGCATTGTTTACTCCCACAGTCTGATCCCCCTAAAGCCAAAAGGACATAAAACTGGCCCTTTGTTTAAAAGGTTTGGAGACCCCAGAACTAGATAACTAGAAGTCAAGACCCAGCTAAAAGTCTTGGACCATTACTGGACCATAAATGCAAACAATACATAAAGAAAAGAAGAGGTTTAAAACACTCCCTGTGTTATCCAAATCAAAAAGTTTTGACTGGAGTTGAACTGTTTTAACCAACCCTGGGTGAACGAAGCCTAAAGGCTCATTTATACTGGTGGCAGTCCTTGCTACCCAGTCTTTGCAGCAAAGCACTTTTCAAAGGGCAGTTATCAGGTGGCTGGATGGCAATCTGAAATCCCAAAAAATGAAAGGGGAGAGCTAGGGACAGTAAGGCTGGGGAGGAAATGGCTAACTAGAAGATGTTTGATATTCTTTATCCAGGAATTAGGCAGTCTCTGACTTACACAGTGTGCAGTGAAATCAAAGCAAGTAATTTTCGTAGAAGAGGAAATGGTAAGGCTGTAGTTTATTTTTTAAAGAACCCTTGCCCGTGTCATTGGTAGCCTGGTGGAGGCAGGATTACTAATATTCTGGCAACTTGTCATGCTAATCCCCCTCTAATGAGGTTACATCAAGAGAGATAATTGAATAACGTGTAGAGCAAAGTTCAGTTTGGATCTCCTATGTAAGACTAGTAACAGACAGATCATTAAAATGTTAGCAGAAATGCACGATGAATGAATCCAGCTTGACAAATTTTTTTATTTTTTTTTTTTAAATACAACTACATATTCAGGACCACACTTCACAGCAGCAATAACACCTAGCTTTCGTCTACTGTCACCACATCCAACAACTGTCTAAGTAATGTCATTCTGTCACTCTGACAAAATGTGATGAAGGCCCCAGTTATTAGAATGCTGAAAAGATGAATCAAAGCAATTGCCGACGTGTGAAAGCTCCTTCTTTGCATTACTATTGCTGCTTTACCAAAGTTTCTGAATGGAATGATTTGCTTTAACAAGATGGTTTGTGCGACCTAGTCATTAATGTTCTCAAATATAAAGCCCATATGTACGTGTGCATATTCCTGTCAGATCCTGCTATCAAGTGCATTGCATAGAGAAAATGGCACTGACAGCTCAGGCCAGTAGGCTGCATCTGTTAGAGAAGCAGGACCAAACGTTTTTTGGCCCTACTTCTCCTGGAGGTCACAGGAGTGTACTTCATTCTGAACTCCTGTGACCACTATTCAGCCGAATGAGGGCTAAAGCTCACTTCCGGCTGACGTCACAGAGCCAGTTCAGGGTCTGCAGGGACTTCAATATCTGGATCTGCCCAAATGCCTGACTGGCTGCTGAAAATTTTCCATATTTTGTCATGTTACAACCAAAAATGTAAATTTATTGTATTGGGATTTTATGTGATAAACCAACACAAAGTGGCTCATAATTGTAAAGTAGAAGGGAAATGATAAATGGTTTTCAACATTTTTTACAAATAAATGAAGTGTGGCGTGCATTTGTATTTAGCCCCCTTTACTCGGATACCCCTAACTAAAATCTAGTGTAACCAATGGCCTTCAGAAGTCACCTAGTTAGTAAACAGAGTCCACCTGTGTGTCATTTAATCTCAGTATAAATATGGCTGTTCTGTGAAGCCCTCAGAGGTTTGTTAGAGAACATTAGTGAACAGCATCATGAAGGCCAGGGACAAAACCAGACAGATCATGGATAAAGTTGTGGAGCAGTTTAAAGCAGGGTTAAGTTTAAAAAAAAAAATCCCAAGCTTTGAACATCTCATGGAGCACTGTTCAATCCATCATCCAAAAATGGAAAGATTATGGCACAACTGCAAACCCACCAAGACATGGCTGTCCACCTAAACTGACAGGCCGGGCAAGGAAAGCATTAATCAGAGAAGCAGCCAAGAGGCCCATGGTAACTATGGAGGGGTTGCAGAGATCCACAGTTCAGGTGGGAGAATATGGCCGCAGGACAACTATTAGTTGTGCACTTTCACAAATCTGGCCTTTATGGAAGAGTGGCAAGAAGAAAGATTGTTGAAAGAAAGCCATAAGAAGCCCCGTTTGCAGTTTCCGAGAAGCCATGTGGGGGACACAGCAAACATGTGAAAGAAGGTGCTCTGGTCAGAGGAGACCAAAATAGAACTTTTCAGCCTAAAAGCAAAACGTTATGTGTGTCAGAAAACTGACCCTGCACATCACCCTGAACACACCATCCCCACCGTGAAACAAGGTGGTGGTAGCATCATGTTTTCCTCAGCAGAGACAGGGAAGCTGGTCAGAGATGATGGGAAGATGGATGGAGCCAAATACAGGGCAATCTTAGAAGAAAACATGTTAAGGGTCTGCAAAAGACTTGAGACTGGGGCGGAGGTTCACCTTCCAGCAGGACAACGACCCTAAACATACAGCCAGAGCTACAATGGAATGGTTTAGATCCAAGCATATTCTTGTGTTAGAATGGCCCAGTCAAAGTCCAGACCTAAATCCAGTGGGGAATCTGTGGCAAGACTGGAAATTGCTGTTCACAGACGTTCCCCATCCAATCTGACAGAGCTTGAGCTATTTTACAAAGATAGAATGGGCAAAAATTTTACTCTAGATGTGCAAAGCCGATACAGACATCCCCAAAAAGATTTGCAGCTGTAATTGCAGCGAAAGGTGGTTCTACTAAAGTATTGTCTCAGGGGGACTGAATACAAATTCATGCTACTTTTCACATATTTATTTGGAAAACATTTTAAAAACCATTTATCATTTTCCTTCCACTTCACAATTATGTGCCACTTTGTGTTGGTCTATCACATAAAATACATTTACGTTTTTGGTTGTAACATGACAAAATGTGGAAAGTGTGTGTGTGTGTGTGTGTGTGTGTGTGTGTGTGTTTAGGAGTATAAAAAGTCTACACACCCCTGTTAAAATGTCAGGTTTTTGTGATGCAAAAAAATTAGAAAAAGATAAATAATTTCAGAACTTTCCTTTTTAATGTAACCTATAAACTGTACAATTGAACAACAAACTGAAATAGTTTAGGTGGAGGGAAGTAAAAACAAACTAAAATAATATGGCTGCATAAGCGTGCACACCCTTAAGCTAATAGTTTTGATTATATTCCAGCATTCAGTCTTTTTGGGTATGAGTCTATCAGCATGGCACATCTTGACTTGGAAATATTTGCTCACTCTTCCTTGAAAAAAAAAAAAACACTCCAAATCTGTCAGATTGCGAGGGTATCTCCTGTGCACAGCCCTCTTCAGATCACCCCACAGATTTTATTTCAAATAGTTTTATTGAAATTTTCAGAATCTTAAACAAGGTAACATCATGTATAAACATTGTAATACAAGGTTCACAAAAACAAGTGTACAATCTATGAGTACATCTATGAGTACCATTGCAATATGAATATTTGATAAGTGGAGTTTCGGAGAGCCGTTCTTCGTTCCATCTCACATTGTAGATTGAGATCCACAAGGAGACGGGACAATAGGGGAGGTGACGTAGACCGCCATAATTTAGTAATGTTTATCTTTGCTGCTGCCAGGATGTGTACTATAATAGTGCGTGAGCGTATGGGGAATGTTTCTATCGTTAAGTGAAGGAGGGCTAGATTGGGATTTGGGGTCATTGGTGAATCTATAATTGAAGAAAT